TTTTAAGGAAAGGTAAGAATAGTTTCCCCATCCCTTCGAATATTCGTTTGCAGGTTGCTGAATTGGCAATCAATAGTGAGCTATACATGTAATAAGCAAATATCACCATTAACTCACCTAGTATGGCATAGTTTTCAAAAAAGAAGATATCATGGACACAATTCGATTGTCTATTAACATACGTGAAGTGATATATATCTAAATATTATAAATGTCTAACGCAAGCCTGAAATTCTCTGCACCATAATTATGTCATGCAATAGTGATTAAATGCTGATCCTAGAAAATAATCACTTATTTCTCGCATTTACAGGCCAAAATTTGCTTATTTGGCTCCCTGAAATTGCTGTCGAGAAAATGAAGCAACCTTCGTTGGTAGCGTGTGAAATTGTCGAAGATAAAAAATGAAGTAAAAACTAAAGTAAAGGTGAAGAGAAAAAGTTAGGCCACACGGCGATACCTGAAAGACTGTAATGCTGGCCCATAAGAGACTGTCGAAGTTCTTTCGATCACACGACGTAACTTGGCCGTCCTTCTCATTGCAGAACTTGCAGCCAAAAAGGTTCATACCGAGAATACTGAAGAAGGAGGGAGACATGACATGAAACGCCTCCGCTCCCGTACAGTCTTGGTAAAAANTTAAGTTTCGTATCTATATTACCAGGACAGCTCGAGATAAGCAGGAAAGAAAGGAAGCAAAGCAAGCTGCATACAAGTGTGGGAATAGGGAGAAGCAAGAAATGGGCAATAATGAGACAAGAAAAAGCTACCTAAATATCTACATAATAGCAATTAAACTTAGTGAACTGGTGGAGAGTGTAACTGAGCTTGGTTACCCGCTTATATCCGCATACAAATTCATTACTTCTAGAATTTTTATAACTCGCTCGTTTTTGCCAATTTTGGTTATAAATGTTTTATTATTGGAGCCGTTGTGTCAGTTGCCTCAGAAGTCCAGAAGCCTTCTATAAACTCTACTTGGCACTCAATTCTATAAGCTCTACTTGGCGCACAATTTCTGATGTTACATTGTATTTCTTCATGAATTATTCATATATCTGGTTAAATCGGCCCAGGTTAAAGGTGATGCAAACCTAATTGACTTCGGCAAGGGAAGAAACCTGTCAACGCTAACCGAATGCTCTGGAGAATAGTTTTAGTTTTTTACTACATGCAAGAACGATGGCAACTAAATAGTAAGAATTTTTAAATTATTAGAATTTTAGTGCCAAGTGTATAGTCGATTTGAGCTTGTGACATGGATGAGAATTCCCTTTGAAGTCGTGTTATTATGTATAGTTAATATTAAAGTGTTATCTAGATTAATATATACGTTGATTTGAATTTGAATCTAATGAGAACATTTGCCCTTTTACATGTGGAGTTTGCGCAGCGACTGAACTATCCATCACGTACCCAATAGATGATTTGTGGTAGTCATTCATCCGCAATTCATAATCACACTACGATCACTCTTTCGTAATTACCCTAGTACCACCATGTTTCATACTTACCCTAGGATCACGCTTTCATGATTACCCTACGATGATTCTTTCAATATCACCTTAGGATTCCCCCGTTTCATAATTATCCTACAATCACGCTTTCATAATTACCCTATGAGCATGACGTTTAGTAATTACCCTCTGAAAACTTTCATAATCAACCTAGGACCACTTTGCTTCATAATTACCCTTTGATCACCCTGCTTCATAATCACTCTTGGATCTCCCTGTTCCATAATTACCCTCGATCTCACTTTCAATATCACCTTAGAATCACCTTGCTTTATAATTACACTACAATCACTCTTTCATAATTACCCTAGGATCACTCTGTTTCATAATTACCTCAGGATCCCCCTGTTTCATAATTACCCTAGTTTCACGTTTCTTCAGTACCAAGCGTTATTACCACTTCTTCGCAAAGTGTTTTGAAAAATATTAATCTTTTCGCTAAAAAATGTGAAATTCTTATAGGTTCTTCACACCTCTTTGGATTCTTTTTAGATTAAATTGTGTTTAATAGCTAACTAATAACAATGAGAACACAAACGTCAGCAATTATTTTTATATCAGAATTAAATGATATTGTACTGAAAAGTGACTGGGAATAAAATCTATAATAAGCAGTGAATAGAAACAAATATATTTATTTATTTACAGTTTCTAATGGGATATAATCTCATTAAAAGTTTACCGAACCAGATAAATAAATAGACCGGAATAATTAATAATGGAGTCCATCAGCGGCTACAGTTAACCGTTCGTTCTCACTTTCCACATCACAAATAAAAGGAAATAAGCGACTATAGCGTCACTATCCACTTGAGCGTCACTATACACTTGAGCGAAGAGCGTCACTTTCGACTTGAGCGTCACTATCGACTTGAGCGTCACTATCGACCAGAGCGTCACTATCAACTAGCGTGTCACTAGCGACTAGAGCGCCACTATCGACTAGAGCGCCACTATCGACTAGCGTGTCACTAGCGACTAGCGCGTCACTGTCGACCACAGCGTCACTATCGACTAGAGCGTCAATATCAACTAGAGCGTCACTATCGACTAGAGCGTCACTATCGACTAGAGCGTCACTATCGACCACAGCGTCACTATCGACTAGAGCGCCACTATCGACTAGCGCGTCACTATCGACTATGGTGACCACATCGCTGCTAATTGTGTTAGCGACAGCCTCGCAATATCATAAAGCTGGGGCCGGGCAAGCCAAATAATTGAGTAGGCGACGGCGGCCGCGGTCATCAAACTAACGTTGCGTCCCATTGTTAATGCATTTTTTTGCCTAAACTAAATTGAAATCCCGAGCCCGCGGCTCTAAGGTAGAAATGCATTGCATGGACCTCTCGGCATCGCTTGAAATTGTGTTAACGGCTGAAAACTGCCGGGGACTGCGTTATATAGTGGAAAAATGTAGTATTTAGGACATGAGAAAGACACAACGCATGGTTTTAGTGGGGAACTGAACAAACTTTGTTTTATTTGATCATGGTCGAGGCCTGATATTTGTGTTGGAAATGGAAAATATTCTATAATATCATAATAATAATAATATCATTCTATAATATCATAATAATCAGTGTTAAATTTGTTTTTTTTTCAGGGAATGATTTATTTATTATTAAAAATGACCTTTTTCGTAGTAAAGTATTTGTACGTTAGCAGTAAATTAGCAGTAATTAAGTTAATCAAATTAGACAGATGAATAATTCACTGCAAGCATTCAAGTAGGAAGAAGCATTAATTTCCTCATATTGTCTTCTCACTTCACGATGGAACCAAGTGAAAAAAAATTATTCTATCCGATATTTTTCACCTTATAAGAAAGTACAAAAAATTACAGAACATTGTGCACGAAATTGAATGTTACAGCAAATTTGAAACTAATTTCTATTCACGATTTCTTTATTGAAACTGTTGAATGAAAATATTTATTAGTCCATTAGGGGCTCTAACATAAACTAAGGCACTGCAAGTCACGGTAGAGTCACTGCAAGTTTATAATCATCTATTAATCTTGAAAACTGTGGATCTCAATTTTTAAAACGAAGTTTAATTGATGGAAAATCAGATATTTACAAAGCAATATTTTAATGTAAATTATACCGCAACTTCGGATTACCCGGAAACCCATCTGATCTTTTTTTTCTCAGCACGAATGCCAAAATAAAAACTACAAATGAATTTTTAGGTTCGCCGCATTTTTGTAACTTTCAGTTACAAAAATGGACTAGGCCTAAAATAAGCGGAGACATTCGCTGTTACGGAACGCGATATGCTTATAAAAAGTTATAATGAATTAAATAAGAGTTAAGCGTTACAGTAAATTGAGTAAGAATTAATCGTTATACTGAATTACATAAAAACTAGGAGTTACATTGAATTGAACAAATCTGTTAGAACGACATGAGCAAGATGAACTTTTCCTTTTTTGCAGAGGCTGTGACCAACCTAAGCTTTACTTGATGACGCATTTTTGTGATGTTAAAATATAAATAAATTAGACAGGCTAAATGATGAATTAGGAATGATGTGCATGAGTGATTATGCATGAATTGGGCTGCATGTGCATGACCATTTCTTGAGTTAAATTTCATTGATCAAATTATTATTGATTACATTTTAAAATCGCATCTTGAATTGATAGAAAAGCCATCCCATATCGTAAACTTTTACATGTCACACATGTTGTGAACTTTTGTTTTACATGACACACATGTTGTGAACTTTTGTTTTACATGGCACACATGTTGTGAACTTTTGTTTTACATGGCACACATGTTGTGAACTTTTGTTTTACATGACACACATGTTGTGAACTTTTGTTTTCAAATAGTTAAAAGTTCAATAATTGACCAGAGCATTCATGAGTGTGAGACGTCAGCCTGGATACGTTGAATAATGTTGTACGTTATTAGTTACACTTTACAACTTACCTTAACTTGAGATAAAAATATGTCAAGTTCATTTAGCCAACAAATAAAAATTTCGATTTATCAAGTAGCATGGACACAGATTAGAGAGAAGAAGACAGAGATTTAGACATCAAGGATTCACCTAAGAAAATAACTTATTAAATTAAACTTAGGCAGGCTAAAAGGCCGAGTATTTACACAAGTTTTGGTTAAAGGAGTTTACCGCACGTACGATTTTAACGGAATTTAAGCTATGTTGTGAAGAGACCTAATTTCGAGTTATTGTGGAGGAAAGAAGACATGCGAGTTTCTTAGAAATAACAAATTTTGAAGAATTTACTGAGGGCCGTGAAAGAATTGACCTATTTTCCAATCAGTAAATGATAGCTAACCCTTCACTTCAGCGAAACAATACAGTATACAATACCGTATACAATACAGTATCCAGTATACCGTATACAATATAGTATTATTTGGAATGGACAGAGGGAAGGATAATTAGATTACAGATGATACTGATACATTTAAAGCAAAATCGGATAACATAAATGATAAACTTCCTCACCTGAATATGAAGATAAAAAGGACTAAAAGCGAGAAGAAAATAGCGACATTGTCCATGGTGCGCAGCATGACGAACAGCTGTCGCCGGAGCTGCGGCATAAAGCGGACCAGTTTGAGGATCCGCAACAAACGGAAAGTGCGGAGCACGGACAGGCTCGAGCCGCTGCCTGCCGCGTCCGCGAGGAGATCCGAACTGCTCTGTACGATGTACGTCTGGCACATCTCCACGATCCTGCACAGCGGCGAGCGTTAAGCGTGATAATCTTGGGTTCTGTCGCGTGCCGTAGGAATAACATGTGAATTAAATAATAACGTGAAGTTAAGGATCTCACCCTAAAACCACGATGACGCCGTCGAAGAGATTGAAGCCGTTGCTGATGTACCCAAAAGGTCCCTCGGAAATTATTTTGAGGAACATTTCGAACGCGAACACTCCAGAGAAGATCATGTTACTCGTTTCCACGATCTGCGTCAACTCCTCCGGCTGACGGGAGCAACAAACACTTAAGAAATCTGTCACCAAGTGGTATACCCCAATAACGGTGACCCTAGTTACCATGTGTGTTTACTGAATGCCACTGAATACGGTGTATGTATCCGTAGATAAAGGGTTAATACAAAGGATTTGATGGTTTTCTATATAGCACAAAAACATTACAAGTAAGAAGATTATCAATTTCAGTATTAATTAAACATGTGGATCTTAAATATTGAATATAAATTAAAGAAGCCAAATGAGTTTCGAGGATCTATACTGCAACAAAGTACGTGATGAAGTTAATCTAGTTTATCCATATATTTTAAAGCCAAGAGACTCACTTGATTGTGGTACTCGACTCCCATACTAAGAGTGTTCACGAGGATGGCACAGAGTATCCATCTCTGAAAATAATTGCTATTAACGAGCTGCTGAACTTTCTTGCGGCCTGCCGAACACCATCGCCGGATGGGTCTGTTGCGCATAGTTTCTTCGCTCCATTCTTCTTCTGACTCGCTCCAGTCCGAGTCAGTTCGGCTGGAGTCGTCAGAATCGTCGTAAGGGAGCGACGGATCGTTCGAAAAGAACAATGAAGGAGCCGAGAAATGTTTAACGCCTTTGGCAAGAGACGAATAGAGCGTGTGGACCGATCTGGAGTCCACCCCCATGTGGGTAGGAAGAGCTGCAGACAAAGCTCCGCTCAAAGCAAGGAGTTCACCACATGTCAGCCCTGAGCCTCCACGACCTCTTGGTAAATATCTGATAGGTTTCGGAGACTCCCGGGAGACCAAAGGTTCGGGAGGTTCAGGGTCCGTCTGAGTGGTTTTCTCGCTTAGACAAACATTTTTGGTATCGCCTTCTCCTCCGTGCATTTGGACAACATCGTTAAACATGACCGACGATCGTCGTGTTCTTGAAGTTGACGGGGTACAGCTACCGTCCGACGATGGTAGGGGTAACAAGTTAGGCATTAGATTTGTGTTACTTCTTCTTGGTTCTTCGCTGGCTTGTCTTGCTTCTAGCTGGTCATCAAGTGTTGACGACCCTGTATTATTGATGATGGTTAACGTTGGGATGGCTTCAACCATTTCTCTTTCCTCAGCGACATCAGTTAACTCGAACTGATGCCTCTTCTTTCTTTGCTTCTTCAGACTGAGATGTTTGGACCCTTGGTTCCTTTTTCGACGATATATTCTATATCGGGCATAGACTTTGCGCTTAAATTTCCTTGCTAAATGTGCGATGTATTTCAGAATTTCAGCGTAGCAGCCTGGCTGGTCGGAACCGGACGCCAGGGTGCTGGAGGAATGGTAGCGCGCGCGTTCTTGCTTCATGCGCTCCATTTCGCGCTTTTTCGTCTCCGAGAATTGAGTAGCTATTACGACTAGACATAAATTTATCATGAAAAAAGAACCGATCTGAAAAAAAAACAATGACATTTAATTAGTTAGTTCGCTTGTCTCGGTGTACACACGCAACATAAGTAGTTATAAGAAACTTGGCCAATGTATTCACAATATTTAATCGATTGGAATTTGAAAAAAGTATCCTGATATGAAAGTTGAACTCACGTACAGGTTAGTAAATTGATTAAGCACAAAATATGTCCGTAATCATCACAATGAGCAGCACATCCATGCTCACCACAATGAGCAGCACATCCATGCTCACCACAATGAGCAGCACATCCATGCTCACCACAATGAGCAGCACGAAGTATATCCAGTCCCAGAAGGAGTGTCCGTCTTGGACGTAATACATAATATCCACCCAGCCCTCGAGGCTGATCACCTGCAACGTGAACACATAAGTAAATAAATAAAAATAAATATAGCAAAACAAGTACCCGCTCATCGACAACGCCAGTGCGTTATTACTGAATATTATTCAGTAATAACGCATATGTTATATTATTCTTTCGGGGATAAATTGAGGTGGTTCATGTGATTTTAACTTGGAATATCTCTTCCACGTAAGTGAGAAACATCTCTTCTTCCTTCTATGCAAGGCAGACCAGTTCCTTCAATGACATGCGGACATTTGAGTTATCCATTAATTGACTTAATTAACCCTACTTGAACCTACACGGTCTCGTTGCACGGCAGACCAGTTACTTCATTGACATGCGGACATTGTACGAGTTAATCATTAATTGACTTAATTGACGCCACTTGAACCTAAAGTCTCGTTATATGGCAGACCAGTTACTTCAATGACATACGGACATAGTATGAGTTATTCATTAATCGACTCTATTAACCACACTTAAACCTACACAGTCTCGTTGTAGACAGACCTGTTACTTCAAAAGTACATCCGGGTTATGCCGAAATTATCTCTAAATCAACTGATATTTTGAACCACGCCAAAGGATAAGGCTTCATTGCAATTTTCTATTAATAATGCCTTCAGGATATTATATCTAATGAAATACTTTCATTTAATGAATTATTCACATTAGAGGTTCTAATTAAGCTATAAAGTTGTTACTCAACCTAACAATTTTCGAATATTGAATCTAATTATTATAAATCCGTCGGATCATATTAAATAAGTTTAAGCAATTCCACCTAAAATTTCCCGAACGCTGCCATTTTAGTTAACTTTGGTTGGACTTCATAGAATTTCAGCAAACATATTCACCAGTAATTAGTTATGATTAAGCAGTCTCAAGTGTTCCTTATTTTTACGATTATGAAAAGGGTTTTAAGCATAAGAATTTGTGTGAAAAAAAAACATTATTGCAGCTGCTCCATTCGAGAATTAACCAATTTTTATCAATTAATATCGTATTAAAGGATTGTACAATAGAATCCACTTCATTTAGCTTTTAAAGTTGCCTCGGCAAGAGGTTAGGTTAACTAGCAACGCCTAAAAACCTAAGCGCGGCAGTCCATTATTCAGTTCCGATTGGGTGTTACCAATTTTGTGCTCAAATGCGTTAGCTAATTCCTTTCTGAATCGTAGCATCGTTCAGAATTCATTGAATAAATGAAAGGGTTCGATCTAATCACAGCCTTCAGATTCAGATTTAGATGTGTCCTCTGAAAGGAGAAGCAAATGCCCAACAAGACCAGTAGGATAACTAACATCTTAGATGATTAGTTCATTAAAAGCAGATGATGCATCAATATTTTTGGAGAAAAATAGGCATTTGTAATTCAGCCCTCATCATAGTTCAACACTTGGATGCACCAACGCCACAGAGATGACACTGGAAAGCTAACGGGGAATTAGGTTTACATCTTCCATTCAACTTGAACAGCGACGTGGTGATGGTCGCAAGATGACGTTGCTATGTTTTGAAGGCATGCATAAATAGCAGGATCCAGTAATTTTTATATATGGATACTGATATGGTATGTGGGCCGTACTACCAAAACTTGTTTTAGTACACGTAGCGGCCCAAGTATATGTAGCGTCCGAACTAAACAGAGCGGCTTAACTAGAAAGCGGCCGATTTCTCGTCCGTGATTGGTGGCTTTAGAATGAAAAGGCGTCAATGATTGGCTGCTGGTAGATACAAATTCGTAACTATTTTTGATAGTACGGCTCCTGGTCAATATCTTTCCCCCAAGCGTCAGGGCAATTGATGGCTTGAATTAATGTGGCTATAGAGTCGTTCTGTCTAAACTCCTAGAGTCAATGCAAGGACAAAAGAGGTAAATGTAATATTTCTCAGAAGAACTCCTAGAAAATTATGCACAGATTTTTGTACATAGTTCCTTCATTAAACTAAAGATTTTACCTCTGAAAGCTAAGCGGTATTGATTTGGCATCTACCCCCCAGGCAGCGGGTACGCCTGTCTAGCTCGCCATAACAATTCTGCCGTTTACGCGGGTTTCCACACAAGCAAAATTAATTGATAATGGAGAACTTAAATTGTTAGATCTTCTCGGCATGCTTAGTGATGATGGAACGAATAATAAACAAACTTGCATACCTGTAAACTAAAATGGTACAAACATGAACAGTTATATTTAGCTACGATGAAGCAAAACTTCAACAACACAGAGCATAATTTTTTAATTATATGAGCATGTCTTACTTTCATGCTTGGTTGGCGGCAGCTCCTCACACGTATGCATTCCATTGTCCTTGGGTAGAGAACAGATGTAGTCTTTCTCCACTTCGGTGACGTTGAAGTAAGACGTGATGGGTCTAAATACGAAAGTAAATCAGACACATCAAACAAGTATTTTTGGCACGACGTAATGTACGGATAAGAGATTTATCACAGTTAATGCCTAACAATACGAGCATAGCAAGAAACTCGGACACTCGACAGCGAATTGAGGTGCGGACTGTCAACACGCGAAGGACCGGACTTGGTACGAAAATTTCCAGTCCTGGATGTGCAAATATTTGTAAATAATTGAGCCTCTTATCGAGTCAAATTTGTAATCTTCTCGTCCTTTTTGCGAGCAACATCGCCATCACCAGATCTAAACTTGTTGAAGGATTCCCAATGCGTCACATCAATATTTTTCCATCTATGATCAAAATGTGTTAGCTTTAAATACTCGAAGCGTCTGTATTAGTTGATTCTTATTATATTCATTTTCATGAACAATCTGATGTAAGATTAAAGACATAACACACAACGTACAGAAGAAGATTATTTTCGACTTCTAATTAATTTAAAGTGAGATCGTGCACCGTAAAATTAAATTGTTTGGTTCTCAATGAACACCTTTAAACGACATTGAACTAAAGAACATTCGCACACCAACAATTTTGCGAGCTAACATTTGGCAGAAACTGCGGACTCTGAAAAAACACTTTGTTTACATCGTTAAAGACTTGCGTAATTTCCCTATAAAATTTATTCATTATTAAAAACTATTTATAAATAGTAAAACCTATTCATTAGCAGAGCCATACAATCAGCAGCTGATGAAGGGATTGCATCAGCCACAACTAATTTGGTATAATTTCTCGACATTGGAATAATACGTACATGTAACATGATTCTGAAATAAATGAATCAGAAGTTAGTCCCTGTATAGATTAGCGCTTTAGATATTTATTATTGATGAAATTGAGCAGTTATGAGCGGGGCAAGAATCATGCAATTATGCTCAGGATTATGAGAGATGGCGTGCTGGGATACAGCAGGCCAATTGGATAGAGGATTGAGTCTGGATAAAGTTAACTTGCAATCCAGTATTAAAAGATACAAAAGCCAGGTGTATAATTGCAGGCAAAAGGGAAATTGAGAGAGAAGAATTACAAGGATTCGTAGCAAGAGAGCAAGAATTAATTAGGTAACGTAATCCAGGATTTGGCCAAAGAATTGTACTTAGTGCACAAAGGGTTTTTGAAATTCCAGGCTTTGCGAGCAAGGGCAACATTTAAGGCCGAGATTATGAGAACAGTGGAAGTCACATGCAAAAACGCATCCAGCTGCCCTACAAAAAAATTAGAGCAAATTCACTGATAAAATAGAAATTTCACCAGTAGGCGGATAGGGAATTTCCTGCAAGTTGAAGCCTTTAAAATAACAACCACCATTAGCCATTATGTTTTAAACAGGTTCTATATTGTATGGTAGGTATTATCCTCAAAGGTTATTCGACCTGTCCTGCTAAGATAATTATTACTTAGGCTCGTTTAACAACGATAATCACTTCTTTATGTTAGCTCTAAAAAAAAGGGAATTGTATGCGAAATAAACCTTGTAGGCTTACAGTAAGCAAGCCACGCGAGCTCCAATATTGCGCTAACACCCGAAAACTTAACGGAATTTACCAATAAATTCCGAATATTTGAATGAATGATATTTGTGATAAGTTTGGTAATTTCAAACATGAATATGAGGAATAACTTCTAGCATGAATGAATCTATGAGGAAAATGTAGGTAGTTTTAATGGTCAAAATGGTCAACGGTCAAATGTTTTTAATGGTCAATTGATCATACTAATTTTAATTGGCTAGTATAGCCTTGTATCAGGTCCGTCTTACTCATCTTAGGTTTGAGTTATGCAAATCACAGAGAATATTATCAATGGGTTGATTCATAGTGTATTTTTGCAAACAAAAACTGCACGGAAAACAGTCAATCCGGAGGAACGTTTAGTCCAGATATGTGCACTAAAATCCGCGACTGCGTATAGTGAATACGATCACAAAACCAATTAGTAATTGTGCTGTGAAATACCGTGAAGAGCGCGGTGCACAGTGAGACATGCAAATGAGACAAGGTTTAAGGAAGAAGTATTTTTTGTCTTAATTTGTTTCAAAAGAATTACAATACGATTGAAAGGTACATTGCTTAGAGCGAAATATCATGTACTTCAAAAATGTTTCTGGGTACACCATGAATTTTACATTTCTTAGACCCGCATGCAAGCAATTCATTTACAAGCAGGCCAATCAGTATTCTATTGATATGTGCGGTGACAGCCAGCAGAAATTGTACACTGTACATCGTACAGTCTTCCGGGAAAATTTCAGTGAGCGTAGATATGAAAATTCTTAATCCCCTGACTAAAATAAAGGGCAAGATGCTACACATTATGTCTACGGGATTAAATGCTCAAATTACATTATCCTATCGCACATTCATATATATAGGTAATTTGAGGACATTTTTTAATTGTTCGATAATATGATGGAATTTTCTAGCAAGAATAAAATTCATATATGACCCAATCCCTTAATTGGTATACGGTAGCGATTACTTAACTCAACCTCAAGCGTCAAATGTTCTGTCTTAAGTGGTCGTTTTCTGAACTGTATTGGTGAACTGTAATGTGATAACGAAAATGCTTGAGGAGCGACCAATAGGTACATGCATGTAGCAGCCCAAATACGCGCAGTAGCGGATTTTCCGTCCATGATTGGTGGGTTAAACTAAAAAAGCTGTTAATGATTGGCTGACAGAATTATGGCTAGAAACTATTCTTGAAAGTGTGACCCTTGATGTTTCGTCTTGAACAATTTAATATACTGCATTTTTTTCATTTAATATACTGCATTTTTTTTTCATTTAATATACTGCATTGCACACGCGTTATGGCGACCGAGAGACTCCTTAGGACAAGCTCAGAACAGGTGGGGGTATCCTGGGTTTTATTTCTTGCTACTTTTTAGTAATAAATAATGGTAATTAAATTCGACATGGTGACCCTCGTGACGATATTCGAGGTAAATTGAGCATTAATTTAGATTACTCTTCATATTTTTTTTTCTTGCTTGATATCCGTTTCAAACAAGAAATAATTTGACATTAAAAATTCTATTTTAAACAATAAAGCTCATGACCATGACACATTTATTTATATGGATATTAACTAATCGGCTTGAAAAAATTATCCACTTAGTTATCCGATCCAAGTAAATGGCATAATTTTAATGAGCTTTACTTCCATTAGCAATACATCCATGCGTCAATGCAGGAAGAGATAAGAATTATATTGGAATAATTATCACTGCAATAATATCATTCAACATTGCGAGACGAGCAGTAGACTATAATATTAGAGCATCAGATATAACGTTAATTACATTGCCATGACAGATGAAAGCTCGTTATTGCTACACCGTCTCCAGCCCGCTAATGAATCAGCAGACGAGCAACAGCGATAACATTGTGATAATGTAACACTGTAATAATGTAACACTGTAATAATGTAACAATGTAATAATGTAACATTGTAATAATGTAACACTGTAATAATGTAACATTGTAACAATGTAACACTGTAATAATGTAACACTGTAATAATGTAACACTGTAATAATGTAACATTGTAATAATGTAACATTGTAATAATGTAACATTGTAACAATGTAACACTGTAATAATGTAACACTGTAATATGTGATAATTGTACGCGGCTTATAGGTAGCAGAGGCAGTTTAGTAATTATAGTCTACGCAAGCTACGTCTTACTTAAGACTTCAACTGAAGTACCTGGCTTTTATAGTGAAGACTGGGGCGGGATATTCATCCTCTCTGCTGCGGCAGTGTTTGGTGGAAGGAGAGTGGGTAAAAAGTGCTTGCAAATCAGCGAAAATATTACTGTTAAGCCGTACAAATATTAACGAGAGTTAAAAATGATGATTGGCATTTTAATGCCAAATTAAAACTACATAAATTCTGAATGAATAATGTTCAAAATAAAAAGTTGAGTGAATACAATCATTGGCAATACATCACATTTAGCAGATATTGGCTATGTTAGCAGCAAGGCTGGGCGTGAAGTTCAATATGCAACAGAGATTGAACGTACATTATTGAACGTTAAGGTAGAATTGAGAATATAATGCATATGAATGCGCAAGACAGGGAGCAAAAATTCAACTTTTTTTGTCAGAACATTGTTTGAACGATGAAAAGATGGCATCCAAGATAAACAAAAAAAGTTCTTCACAAATTTTCTAACAATTATGGGTAACGTTTCGTGGACGTACAAAATTTAGTGAAACAATTATTTTCGTGGCACAAAGGTGCAAAATTAATGCAAGAGACATGCACAATATACGGTCGGAAACACTTATTTTCAAATACAGAGTGGCAGGCAGCAAAAAAATTTTCATTAGACGATGAATAAAATTTCGTTCCGGTAACAAAATAGTTTCATTTCAATATCATTTTCAGGGGGACTGAACAAGTCTCGTGACAAACACGACGTACAGTTGGGGGGACTGAACAAGTCTCGTGACAAACACGACGTACAGTTGGGGGGAACTGAGGGACTGAACAAGTCCCGGGACAAACACGACGTACAGTTGGGGGGACCGAACAAGTCTCGTGACAAACACGACGTACGATGTCGTAATCACTCAGAAAATTTTTGACAACAAAATACCAAATTATAAATTGTACTGAGAAAAATATTGATTGAAATTAGAGAAAAGGCATTGATTAAGAAAACATGATAAATAGACAAAGAGTGAATCAGTTCACTGAAAAAAATTAATTTAGATCTAAATTCAGCGTCCTTCAAAAAAATAAAAGTGATGTTCCGTCATTCCAAAATGCCTCAGTCCATTTTCCCGTCAGTACGGCTAATCCAAGCTTGGAAAATCGAAAACACTGATTGTTAGGCAGAACTACGCAGTTACAATTACTCTGCTTATTATATTAAGCATTTTTTCGACAACTCGTTATTTTATGGACTTAATTCGATTTTTATGTTCATTATTTAGATACCCAG